TGCTGTTAATAACGGTGAGTTGTGCGATCTTCCGATCGCTTCACACACGATTTCGCCGAAATTAATAAAAACAATATTATAAGGAATTTTGAATAAAATCAATGAAATAAGTTACAAACATAAGTCCAGATATAGAAAGAACACTTTTTATAGCCAGACAGTGTAATTACATAATTATTTTGCTTACAGTACGGATTTGTTGACATGGTATTCCCGGTGTTTCGTGCTCACGGTAATGTCTTTCCATGGGGGAAAAAAACATCCAAACTCATAATTCGTGTATAATGCGCACCCCCTTCTACACAGCTGTGTTTTTTCGAAAAAAAGTGCGCACTATACTCAAGAAAATACGGTAGGCATTAGTCCACCCTCACTGTTTCCAGTACTGGAGAGGTGAGTGAGGTTCCATGACCCGATACTACGCTAGGCACTCATGAACTTATTTGAACACAAACTTAAATCACACTTTGAATCCCTTTTTCTTGAGGCAAGTAACCATCTCAACTCTACTAAAAGACACACATAGCTTTTACTTCAAAGACTCATCGGCAACAACTTTGGTCAGAAAATCTACGTTTCTTCCATACCGAACACCCAATGAGTGAGTGTGTGAGGGAGTTGGCTTTAACGCAGCTTCTAACAGTATTCCAGTTATAATGTGGGAGAAAAGCCTGAAGTGATGCAGGTCTCAGACGTTTACCACTTCGGTAAAACCCTCGAGCACAGGTATTGTGTTGGTGCTGACAAACCTAGAAACATAATCGGGGCGAACCAGGATTTGAACCCACAATCATAGGATTCTGGTGTGCCCAAGGGATGCTACTCTGCACAGCGAATCACAGCGCCTTAGACAACTGGGCCACCCATGACCCCCATAATTGGACAAAACACATGGACAAGACATTCAGGCTTGGGAGCTACTGCATGCAGATAAGGTATGATCTTAGAGAATGCTTGCTTCTTGATGTGGGTTAATTGCCCATCATAAATACTGGCAGGCCCAGTCTCAAGCAACATCAATAACCCCATGGAACCAAACCATTGGATATTTGGACAGCTGATGCAGGTATGTGAGGCAGTTGTGCAGAAAGCGGTATCAGCTTGAGAGATGGTGGTGTGGAATGCACTATCAGTCTGTAAGCCAGTTGTGTGGAAGGCACTGTCAGTAGATGATGATAACTGCACATAGCAGAGGGCTGGTGTGGCTTCCAACAGGTGCTTGGTAGAGCAGATTGGAAGGTGGGGTGTGATGGAGGGCAAGGGCGGAGGTTTGTGTGGTGAGATGGGGGTAGATGTGGGAGTTGTGGGGTGAGGTTGGGTGGGGAAAGAGTAGGGTGAGGTGGGGAAGGTGTGGAGGGAGTAGGTGTGGGGTGAGGTTTGGTCAGGAGGGGGTGAGATGCGGTAGGTATGGGGGCATTGTGGGGTTAGGGTGGGGTGACGAGGGAGTAGGGTGAGGTGGGTGTTGTGGGGTGAGGTGGGGAGGGAGTAGGTGTGGGAGTTGTGGGGTGAGGTTGGGTTGGGAGGGAGTAGGTGTGGGAGTTGTGGGGTCAGGTGGGGAGGGAGTAGGTGAGGGGTGAGGTTGGGTCGGGAGGGGGTGAGATGCGGTAGGTATGGGAATTGTGGGGTGAGGTTGGGTGACGAGGGAGTAGGGTGAGGTGGGTGTTGTGGGGTGAGGTGGGGAGGGAGTAGGTGTCGGAGTTGGGGGTGAGGTTGGGTGGGGAGGGAGTAGGGTGAGGAGGGAGTTGTGGGGTGAGGTGGGGTCAGGAGGGTGTAGGGTGAGGAGGGAGTTGTGGGGTGAGGTGGGGTCAGGAGGGAGTTGTGGAGTGAGGTGGGGTCAGGAGGGTGTAGGGTGAGGTGTGGGAGTTGTGGGGAGGGAGTAGGTGTGGGGTGAGGTTGGGTAGTTGTGGGGGGAAGGGGAGGGGGAGATGGATGTACATTGTGGGGAAGATCACCTACAGATGATAAGGATCACAATGGATGATGTTTGTGCCATGGACCAATCGCTGTGTATGTACCATGAGATCAACAGTGCAATCTTCTGAATAACTTCCGTAACCTTGGAAACAAGCATCACAAGTCCTCATGCTATGCAGCTGTATTTGATTGTGGGGAATTCCGGGTACTGCTGATGTCATTGATGTGTTAATAGTTTACACTGGCATGATTCAAAATATGTCATTCGATCTTACAGTATCATTATTAACTACAGAGTTACATTTTGGTCATTTGAAAACGGTCGCACACTCTGTGGTGAACAAGTGAATACAGATCCATTAATATTCCTTGTCTGGTTCCTCCTTCAGAAGGAACAACTATCTGACAATGTCAAGAAGACTTGCCTCAATCTCACTTCAAGGCCATGAAATTTGTGTCTCCTGTAAATATTGTGGGGCATAGAAAGATGACTTTACAACCTATATAACAAATTAACAAGGGCAAGTAATAGCAAGTAATAGCAACCTTGCAGATTTGTTTATCACAAATGCTTGACAAAAATTAAATTTGAAAAGCAGATATACACATACACTACTGAGTGAAAACTTTTAAAATATATATCAACGAGTGAGTGAAAATATTAATCATGTAGTATACGATTTGGGCTATAAGAGGAATTACAGACGAGAAACTGTATTCCACTGTGACAAATGTGCAGGTTGATTTACAGGTTAATCTCAATTCTAAGAGGAATCAGCACATTTTTTTTCACCCAAGAAGAAGTTATAAAACCTGGACCATGCCCATTAGAGGTAGAAGACAACTTCCCGCCAACCAGAAACCAGTTAACGATTATCACAATTTAGTTTAGTTGGACTGTGAATAATGTAAATTTTAGATGTGAAGGAAAACCGTATCTATAGTGTATTTCACATCGCAAATCGTCATCTTTGTGTTACAACCATCCACCGGCCCCATACAGTGTTTGACTTGACACTTCCACTTCACTTGCCCTTCCAGATTTCAGCACAACCAACATAAAGTGTGCACACTATTACCACATTCAGTGGAAGTGATTGCAATTGACATGCAAGGTGGGTGGCAGTAACTTCACGTAATGAGACACGACTGAGCTGGATCAAGGAGACTCCTTCCTGCAGCAGTTGGCAACGGGTCAGGTGTACCACCCTACTGCTACTCCTACAACAGTTGCCCGTGGAGCCTATCCTGTACACTGTATACACTTCAAACCTTCCTGCAGCAGTTGGCAACAGGTCAGGTGTACCACCCTACAACAGATGCATGTGGAGCCTATCCTGTACACTGTATACACTTCAAACCCTGCAGCAGTTGGCAACAGGTCAGGTGTACCACCCTACAACAGATGCATGTGGAGCCTATCCTGTACACTGTATACACTTCAAACCCTGCAGCAGTTGGCAACAGGTCAGGTGTACCACCCTACTGCTACTCCTACAACAGTTGCCCGTGGAGCCTATCCTGTACACTGTATACACTTCAAACCTTCCTGAATCAGTTGGCAACAGGTCAGGTGTACCACCCTACAACAGATGCATGTCGAGCCTACCCTGTACACTGTATACACTTCAAACCCTGCAGCAGTTGGCAACAGGTCAGGTGTACCACCCTACAACAGATGCATGTGGAGCCTACCCTGTACACTGTATACACTTTAAACCCTGCAGCAGTTGGCAACAGGTCAGGTGTACCACCCTACTGCTACTCCTACAACAGTTGCCCGTGGAGCCTACCCTGTACACTGTATACACTTCAAACCCTGCAGCAGTTGGCAACGGGTCAGGTGTACCACCCTACAACAGATGCATGTCGAGCCTACCCTGTACACTGTATACACTTTAAACCCTGCAGCAGTTGGCAACAGGTCAGGTGTACCACCCTACAACAGATGCATGTGGAGCCTACCCTGTACACTGTATACACTTTAAACCTTGCAGCAGTTGGCAACAGGTCAGGTGTACCACCCTACAACAGATGCATGTCGAGCCTACCCTGTACACTGTATACACTTTAAACCCTGCAGCAGTTGGCAACAGGTCAGTGTACCACCCTACTGCTACTCCTACAACAGTTGTCCGTGGAGCCTATCCTGTACACTGTATACACTTCAAACCTTCCTGAATCAGTTGGCAACAGGTCAGGTGTACCACCCTACAACAGATGCGTGTGGAGCCTACCCTGTACACTGTATACACTTTAAACCCTGCAGCAGTTGGCAACAGGTCAGGTGTACCACCCTACAACAGATGCATGTCGAGCCTACCCTGTACACTGTATACACTTCAAACCTTCCTGAATCAGTTGGCAACAGGTCAGGTGTACAACCCTACAACAGATGCATGTCGAGCCTACCCTGTACACTCTATACACTTCAAGCCAGTGAAGACCTCCAGCAAATCTCTGTCTTAGAGTCATATTGGGATTAATTACAAGAAGCTTTTTATCTCTAAACCATTCACTGACGATAGACCTGGACATACTAGACATTGTTACTTGGGGAGGAAATACACATCCACGACTAATTACAATATCAATGTCATCACTGTGCTATTTTTCACCAAACACATCTATGTACAGTAAACTACGTGTATAAGGACCATGCTTGTAACAAACTGACGGATATAACTATCTTACTTTTTTTGTCCCGACTATTTGCTGTATATATGCTGTAGATATGATTACAACAAACTAAGGTTGTAACAAACTAAAATAAGTTGTCCCTTTGTTGTTATAACTGTAGTTTACTGTACTTATTACATGTTGCAGGACCTGTGAAGATCCAGGGAAGAATAGGTCTTCAGCAACCCATGCTTGCCGTAAACGGCGACTATGCTTGTCGTAAGAGGCGACTAATAGGATCTATGCTCATGATGTCAATCACTGGATTGTCTGGTCCAGACTCGATTATTGACAGACCTCCGTCATATAGCTGGAATATTGCTGAGAGTGGCGTTAAACAACAAACAAACAAACATTTTGCAGATATGACATCCAGGGTTTATGCAAGTCATATGTTTATGACTTACTTTTGAGAGTGATTCTTCTTTCGTTGTCCTCCGATGACCGATCACTGTTTGTTTCCTCGATCTCTGTGTTTGGCGAGGTCTGGATGGTGAGCTTGTGACAGACCTCGAACGCCTGGCCGATTGTACGCACAATGCGCATCGCCTGACTCTGAAACAACAAGGACCACCTTGTACATGCACCTGTTAAGACAACACACTTTCCCAAGCTGAGATACAGATAACCAAATCTTAGAGAGTGTTTCAGCATGACCTGAGTAAAAGTCACCACCAGTCATCACTACAGTCAGCCATCACTACATTTGTCACTACAGTCAGCCATTACTACATTTGTCACTACATCAGCCATCACTACATTTGTCACTACATCAGCCATCACTACATTTGTCACTACAGTCAGCCATCACTACATTTGTCACTACAGTCAGCCATTACTACATTTGTCACTACAGTCAGCCATCACTACATTTGTCACTACAGTCAGCCATCACTACATTTGTCACTACAGTCAGCCATCACTACATTTGTCACTACAGTCAGCCATCACTACATTTGTCACTACAGTCAGCCATCACTACATTTGTCACTACAGTCAGCCATCACTACATTTGTCACTAGTCAGCCATTACTACATTTGTCACTACAGTCAGCCATCACTTCATTTGTCACTACAGTCAGCCATCACTACATTTGTCACTACAGTCAGCCATCACTACATTTGTCACTACAGTCAGCCATCACTACATTTGTCACTACAGTCAGCCATCACTACATTTGTCACTACAGTCAGCCATCACTACATTTGTCACTACAGTCAGCCATCACTACATTTGTCACTACAGTCAGCCATCACTACATTTGTCACTACAATAAGCCATCACTACATTTGTCACTACAGTCAGCCATCACTACATTTGTCACTACAGTCAGCCATTACTACATTTGTCACTACAGTCAGCCATCACTACATTTGTCACTACAGTCAGCCATTACTACATTTGTCACTACGGTCAGCCATTACTACATTTGTCACTACAGTCAGCCATTACTACATTTGTCACTACAGTCAGCCATTACTACATTTGTCACTACAGTCAGCCATCACTACATTTGTCACTACAGTCAGCCATCACTACATTTGTCACTACAGTCAGCCATCACTACATTTGTCACTACAGTCAGCCATCACTACATTTGTCACTACAGTCAGCTATCACTACATTTGTCACTACAGTCAGCCATCACTACATTTGTCACTACAGTCAGCCATCACTACATTTGTCACTACAGTCAGCCATCACTTCATTTGTTACTACAATCAGCCATCACTTCATTTGTCACAAAAAAATTGACATTTAATTTCTGGATAGAACGTGAATTTTTCTCCATTCTAAAACTACATGGTCAGTTCATTTATGAAACTATTCTTATATACTGGTTCCCAACTGAACTTGCATTGCATAGTCTTTATGATGTGTCAGGTGGATTCGTTTGTGATCAATTCTTTAGACAGCTGAACTGGAATTTCCCATGTGAGACCTTCCAGAATCTTCATTCAGGTCCAATCTAATGGACTTTAATAAAAAAACAAGAGTTTGCCACTAACATGGCTCTATCCCCCGCCCCTGTTGAAGAATTTATGACATAATTAAATCTAAACAAACCCTAACCTTTTTTAACCGAGGTGGAACTTGTCATGGAAATTGTAAAAAAAAGATGAGTTTGGAACCTAAGTCCATCTTGTTGCCATGGAAACGTAAAAAATAAAAAAATTCTAAAATTTCTCAATAGCAAAAGGCACCAGTTCAGCATGTACGTGACAGACCTGCAAAGTTTGATGAAAAAATATTGAAAGGTTTATGAGTTATGCTCCGGAAACGAACCCTACCCTCACAGAACCTAAGTCCATCTTGTTGCCATGGAAACGTAAAAAATAAAAATTTCTAAAATTTCTAAGTAGCAAAAGGCACCAGTTCAGCATGTACCTGACAGATCTGCAAAGTTTGATGAAAAAATATTGAACGGTTTATGAGTTATGCTCCGGAAACGAAACGTGACGGACGGACGGACGGACGGAGCCCGTTACTATTTTAAAAGAAATATCATATTTTGATAAACCTCACTGCTTCTGACCGAAGGAGAGCAACATGACCTGATTGATATCAACTGTTGCCATGCCAGGACACATCAACTGTTGCCATGCCCGGACACATCAACTGTTTCTCATTGTATGATGCAAGTGAATGGGAAAACGTGATAGGAATGTTTGTTGTTTTAAGTCTTTTTATTATGTGGCAACAATTAGTATAGCATGGCAACAGTTGATGTGTCCCGGCATGGCAACAGTTGATGCCATGGCTGGACACATCAACTGTTGCCATGCCCGGACACATCAACTGTTGCTATGCCTGGACACATCAACTGTTGCCATGCCGGGACACATCAACTGTTGCCATGCCATACTAATTGTTGCCACATAATAAAAAGACTTAAAACAACAAACATTGCTATCACGTTTTCCCATTCACTTGCATCATACAATGAGAAACTGATGTCCTGGAGGGGAAAAGGAGTGAAAATTAATAACATTTTTCAATAGTCATCTCTGAATGATAATTGAGAAAAACTTGACACACTTGCTGTCTGTCGTCTTTCTCTCCATTTCCCCATTCATCTCTCTAATACATTACTTTTTTCCCTCTTTCATCTCGCTCTCCTTCCCCATCTCCTGCTGCCCCGTGAACAACAAACACCTTGAACAACTCAAAATGTTAATCATTCATCTGAGGTCCTTTACTGAGCCAAAATCAGTTGTCCAACCATACCAATCTCCTGGCAAGGAGGCCACCATGCTTGAATCAGTGCTTGACACACTGCTTCAGCTTCCAATCAGGAGACAACAAGTTTTCAAGATACTGTTTCTTTACAACTAACAGTTTTTAAATGAATTTCACCAACTCAAGCTCTCATGAAGTGACATGTTTCACAAAAACTCAAAATTACTCAGAAGTTCTGAAGCAAACCTGGTACATACTATCGGCCACACAACTCTGAACAAGGGAAATCTTCCAGGTATAAAAAAAAGTTGCATTACATGATGCAAGTGGCTGCATGAATCTGATACTCTTCCTCACAAAAAATGGCATGGTTTATAACATCTCAATATGTTTTGCACAAGAATGATAAAAAATATCTTGAAAATATCTCCTAGGGCAAAACGATATTGGATATTGCTATGTGACAAAGACCAGGATGGAAGCGTGATGGACACGAGTGAGTGAGTGAAGTGAGTGAAGTGAGTGAAGTGAGTGAGTGAGTGAGTGAGCGAGTTGGGTGACGTCACTTGCAATAAACACAATTCACCCTGATCAGGATCACAAGACTGATATAATTAGGGGTCACACACGTTTCAATGAAATTAATCCTTTGTAACTTGTGAACTCAAAAGAATAAAATTCAGCTAAAATACTGTAAACACTAAAATACTTTCGGCAGTCAATGAAATACACCCTGTTGTCAACCAATCAAAGTCAAATCCGTGCTTAAACTATTTTCTTCACACTTCTATTTACTTTCAACTAATTACATCTCATATATTCCCTCAGCCCATTGCACGACTTACTTCCATGACCTTTAATCTCCTAAAAAAAATATGACATCAATTAAGAATTTGACAGGTTACAAAAAATGCCTCATCACAGACTAACAGATAGAGTGGAATGAGACAAAAACACTTTATCCAGTGTCAATCTAAAAATTTAAATAATTAAGAAGCAATAATTGTGAAGGAGTCTAAACTGTTTGGAAATCATTTTCCTCAATGTGATTCGACCCCATCATTAAAACACAAACATGAACTCATGGTTTCTTTAGGAAGCCAATACGGGGAGCTGTTTTCACTAAATATTTAGAAGAAACATGAGGCAATCATTGAGTGGCGTCACTGAAGAAAGAGCCTTCAACCAAGATGGCCACCTCCACAACCTGTCACGAATGTCCGTTAATCTCAACATTGAATCAAATCAATTTATGGGCTGTTATTTTTTACTCACGGGACTTGAAGAGTTATTTACGTAAAGATTTCTGGCAAATTCTGTCAATCTTAAGAAACCATTTCCAAAAGAAGGAAATTATTGAAAGTTCCTCTTCCTTGATTACCATGCAACCTAATGTGACCTCGTATTTTAAGAGCCGGTATTTCAAGTCTTGTTCGCATTCATTGATCAGCTTTGATTTACAATAAAACATCACTCCGTGGAGAAGGAATAACCTGGCCAAGCGTTGGACCTCCGTCTTGCTGCACCATAAATAAAACAATATATATCGGCCACATGACTGCTTTTAATTCGGTCATGTCAGATTTTACGAATCATGTCGATGTGATGGCAGACAACAATAATGTTCAAGTTTTATCACGTTCAAGCTCTCTTGGTGTAAGAGTCATGTGTGAGAGAGGCCATCTACTGTTGGCCTATTTGATGTCTACCTGAGTCACCATTTACACTGAGTTTGGTTTTTGGGGGTTTTTTATGCTTAAAGCCACATTCAGCAATATTACAACTAAATGAAGGCAGCCTTAAAATAATCTCTATTCCGAACAGACAAACCCATGATTGATATTATGAGAGGCAATCCACGTCGTCGGGGTAGAATGACACACAATCAACCAATTCACAGAGTCTGACCTACATTGAGGCCCATGACCTTGGGGATTCCGCGTTAGAATTAGCTTTCATCAAAGTTCCCAGGAAACTATTACAGGCAACAGATGGTAGTTAAAGTGAGTGAGTGAATTGGGTTTAACACCGCTTTTAACCGTATTCCAGCTCCATCATGGCATATCAACATGATGTGGGAGGAAAGCCAAAGTGATCATGATGCCTGTCTCAGATGTTTACCCCTCTGATGAACCCCACGAGCACTGGTTATATATCTGGTGCTGACAAAGGTTAGAATAGGTCCCTAACAGCCTATCAAAGATGGCGGGTGGTCCCTAGCAACCTATCAGAGGTGACGTATGCAGCAAGCTATTACAGGTGACTGGGTGGTCCGACTCGATGTGTTGCGTCTCAGCTCATAGTAATCACTTGATCGTCTGGTCTAGACTTGAATTCTTACAGGCCACTGTTATAAAGCTGGAATAGTGCTGAG